AAATTGGGGGGGGCAGTTTCTTCAAAACTTTTTCTTACTTTGATGTCTTAACCCCTAAAGGAAGAAAAAATAGTACTACTATGCTTCTTATCTAAGGTATCTGACAAGCAATACAAAAGTAATTTTTTCTCTTTCTTTCTCACTCTCTCTCTCTTTCTCTCTCTCTTTTGAGACAGGATCTCACTATGTAGTTCTGGCTGGCCTAAAACTCGAGGCAATCCTCTTGCCTCAACCTTTTGAGTACTGGAATTACAGGTGTGAGCCACCATGCCTGGCAATTTTTTCTTTTTTATGGGGCCAGGGATGGGATTCAGGGCCTTGCACACGGTAGGCAAGCACTCTACTACTGAGCTGCATCCCCAGCCCTGGAGTGCCACCCCACCACTCTCTAGTACTGGGGATTGAATCCAGGGGTTTGCACAGAGGTACATTCCAACTTTTTTTTTTTTTGGTACTGGGGATCGAACTCGGGAACTTGTGCTTGTGAGGCAGGCGGCAGAACCACTGAGCTAAATCCCCGGCCCTCCAACTTTTTTTATTTTTTATTTTGAGATAGGATCTCACTCCATCATTAACTTGCCCAGGCTAGGCTTGAACTTGCGATCATCATGCCTCAATCTCCCAGACTGCTATACTATAGGCAGGTGCCACAACACCCAGCTTGCAGCACTGATTTTAAAAGGAATGAGTGTGGGGGTTTGGCCTTGAAACAGATGAAATGGCAAGGAATACCAAGTTCATCTAAAATTGTAATTAAAAGAAAAGAGAGCATGTCTGTAACCTCAGTACTCAGGAGGCTAGGCCAATAGTATCACAAGTTCAAGGCCAGCCTGGGCTACACAGCCAGTGCAAGGTTTAGCCTGGACTACACAGTGAGACCCTGGCTCAAAAAAAAAAAAAAAAAGAGATTTAAAAATCAATTTCTCAGAATGAGATCTGAATAGTACAAGGCCAGGCAGCAGAAGGTATCTAAACATGCCTCTCCTTTCTGCCATTTATTTTTCCCTCATTTACCACCACTTGTACCAGCATCAGGAAGGGTTTTAGATAAGAGGAAAAACAAAGAAAAAACAAGAAAACCAAAAACCTACTATTGTATAAATACAAAAGATATTGGTCAAGTAAGAATTTGGGAACAGGTAGGTAGGTAAGAGATATAGTTTTACAATAATAACAATCCCAGAAAACGGTCTGTTAAAAAAATTTCCAAAGTAGAATTAGGAAAACATCCTATATATGCAATAATATGTACAGAATGAATAAATATTATTATCTTAAAATGAGGTTAGCTGGGCATGGTGGTGGATCCCTATAATCCCAACACTCATGGGGCTGAGGTAGGAGGAGCACCAAGAGTTTGAGGCCAGTCTGGGCTACATAGTCTGGATCCCAATCTGGGATCCATTAACAGATCCATTAACAGTTTCAAGGCCAGCCTGAACTATATAGCGTGACCTTGTCTTAAAAAAAAAAAAATCTAATAAAATGAGGTTAGCAATAGGCCTAACAGAAGAGGACTTAGTTGGAAAGTATCACAGTCTATAAGAAAAGTCATTCCAGGGCTGGGGATTTAGCTCAGTGGTGCTGCTGCCTACCTCGCAAGTGCAAGGTCCTGAGTTCGATCCCTGGTACCAAAAGAAAAAAAAAGAAAGAAAAGTCATTCCAATACCAATAGTAAACTGATCCTCATGTCAAAATTGTTTTAATAATTATTTTCTCATTTTTTTCATCTCTGAGCTACCTTGTCCACAATATAATAGTCAAGGAAGATAGAAGAAAAAAAACAGTTAAAAGTAAACTCTCAGCTGGGCATGGTGGCCCATGCCTGTAATCCCAGCACTTGGGAGTTTGAAGCAGGAGGATTGCTGCATGTTCCAGGCCAGTCTAGGCAACATAGTGAGTTCAAGGCCAGCCTGAGCTACATACATAGCAAAACTCTTGTCTCAGAACACCAACAAAAAAGAAAAAAAGAGGAAACTCTCAATCTCTCAAAATAGATAAACAAATCACCAGCAAAGTAAAGTCAAAGGGGTAAAAACTTTCTTACAGTGAGTTCCAAATTGAGATAATAGCTAATACATACTATGTGTCAAGCACTGCTTTAAGCACTTGATATGTATCATTAATAACCCTTTGAAGGTAAGTACTATTAATAAGACCCACATTATATATGAATAAACTGAGGCAGAGAGACATTAAATAGCTTACCAGACATCATAATACTAGTGTTAAAAGCTGGGATCTGAAACAGTCCGTACTCTAAGTCGTGCTACTTCGTTCATACAGTAACTTTTTTTTTTTTTGGTATCAGGGATCAAACTCAGGACCTTGCGGTTGCAAGGCAGATGTGCTGCCACTGAGCTAAATTCCCAGCCAGCTACCTCATTTATGTGAGGGAACTGTTTTCAGGCTGTGGCTTGGTCAAAAGTAGTAAAGCTGTAGCTTTCTTTTTTCAAAAACGAAAAGAGGTGAGGCTTGGGGATATAGCTCAATGTTCCCTGGGGTCAATGCCCAGTACAGGAAAAAAAAAAGGGGAGGCGGGAGTTCCATAACAATGCTTCACCACAAATTGGTTTTTGGTTATTTTGTCAAAGTTGCTAGTTGTCTATGAATAAAATTCTTGCTTTTACATTATCTGCTTTTCAGAAAATAGTGGAGCTAAGAGGAGCCAAATCTGAGCCTTTGGGAAATCTGTTTTACCATCAGGTTAACTGCTACTTTTTCATAGTAAACATAAACATATCAGGTGGGAGTGTGGATCAGTGGTAAAGCACTTGCCTAGCATTTGGAAGGCCTGGGTTTAATCCCAGGAATACACACACACACACAGCCACAAACAACAAAAACATCTACCAACCACTCTGACCCATCTAAATTTACCAAAATAAAGCATACAGAAAAAGACAGGGAGAGATCGGAAAAAAGGTATGAAGTTATACTGTAAAATGATGGTCATAGGTCCCTCCATTACCAGAAAAACTAGTAAATAATTCAATTATAGACCACAGAATACTGCACTAAAAAGATGTGTCCTTTATGTTCCTCTATACCAGTGGTGGTGAACCTATGGCATGTGTGCTGCAGCGTACTGTTTGTATGACTGAAAACCTCTAAAAGGTTCACCATCACTGCTGTATACCATTCAATAATTGCATGATGTGGCCAGGAATTTAGCTCAGTGGTTTCGCCATCTGCTGAGCAAGTCCAAGGACCCGAGTTCGATCCCCAGTACAAAAAAAAAAAAAAATTGCATGATGTGAAACATATCTTTGTAGGCTTTCCTTGTTTTTTTGGTTTTTTTGGTACCAGGGATCAAGCTCGGGTCCTTGCGCTTGCGCAGCAGGTGGGGAAACCACTGAGCTAAATCCCCGGCCCCCTTGTTTTTTTTTTTTTTTTTTAATAAAGTCTATTTTTCATTTCGTTTGTTTTTTTTGGTTTTGTTTTGTTTTGTTTTTTGGTACCGCGGATCGAACTCAGGACCTTGTGCTTGAGAGGCAGGCACTGGAACCACTGAGCTAAATCCCTCGCCCTCATTTGTTTATTTTTGCAGCGCTGGGGACTGAACCTAGGGCCTTGTCCATGGTAGGCAAGGATTATTCCATTGCTGAGCTACACCCCAAACCCCTTACTTGTAAAATAAATCTACCACATTAAAAGCCTTAAGGGCCAGGGATTTAGCTCAGTGGTTCTGCTGCCTGCCTCGCAAGCACAAGGTCCCGAGTTCAATCCCCAGTACCAAAAAAACCCCAAACAAACAAAAGCCTTAAATTGGAGAGCCAGCCCACATAATGTTAAGATCTCTTTCCTACAATTTTTTGATAATTTAGTTCTACACTCGTTTCTCAAACTCTGCTTTATACTGAGAAAATGATGAGTGAAGCATGCCAGACTGCCAAAATCCTTACAACCAGTGAAAAGAGAAAGCTAAGAAATTGTTGCTTGAGAAATTAAAATGGTAAGGCATTAGTAGGGCTCTTCTATATCTCACAGCCTAACATTCAAAAACCTTTCGAGCTGGGGTTGAAACTCAGTAGTATAATACTTGCCCAGCATTTGCCAAGCCCTGGGTTCAATCTTCAGCATTGGAAAAACAAAAACAATAAATCCAAATCGTTTAATATAACCCTTCCATTCCAGCTAGTTTAGTTCCATCTATGTATTTTCCTTAACCTTCCTCAAAACTTGTAATGTCGGCTGGGGGTGGTGGCGCATGCTTGTAATACCAGCACTCAGGAGGCTGAGGCTGGAGGATCACTGTGAGTTAGAGGTCCACCTGGACTAGTCAGTTCAAGGCCAGCCTGAACTACACAGTGAGACTCTGCCTCAAAAAACCAAAAACACTTGTAATGTCTTCCCATCTCTTGCTTGTTTCCAAGATCTTAATCTGAATTCATCTTTTCCATTAGTCTTGTCCCTCAAGGATCCCTCCCTCAGTTATTTACTGTGCACTATGTTCCTGCTTTCTAGCAACTTCACACCTTAATTTGTCCTTTGGATTCTTTTTAATCTTGGACAGAAGTCAGGTTCATCATCAAAGAAATGATGATTGCTTGTTGAATATACTTCATAAAGTTAGGTTTCAGGAAGATTTTTTTTGGGGGGAGGACATCCCTATCCCCCTTTTAGAGACAGGCTCTCACAAAGTCACTAAATTGTCCATGCTAGGCATGAACTTTCAATTCTCCTACCTCAGCCTCCCAAAGTCCTCCAATTACAGGCTGTCGCCACCGCGCCCCGCAAGAACTGCATTTTTTTTTTTTTGGTACGGGGATCCAACTTGGGTCCTTGCGCTTGCGCAGCAGGCGGGGAAGCCACTGAGCTAAATCCCCGGACCAAGAACTTCCATTTTTAAGAAAATAAACTGAAGGGCTGAGAAGATTAAAGAGACTAAACGCCTAGGTTGGTACTCGTTTGAGAACCTATGACGGAGCAGGAAGAGAATGACCATTGTATTTCCTAAAGAGTTGACCTAGGCACGATTCTGATCCATTAACAGTCACCTGTTTAGTGTTCTGTATGCACCTTCCACGTTTCCTTCTTGTACCATCACAGTCCTGGCAATGAACTTCAGATGTTTTGCCATGACCTCGGATTTAAGTCTTCGCTCTGCAGGACGTACACAAAGATCGGGTCAGAAAACAAAAGCGTTTAGTCAACTCTGAAAAGGGAAGATGCTCAAGGACCCCCGAGACAGGGCATGTGGAGGTCTTCAAGTCTTAGAAAGTAGGCGCCAGGGCCGGGGACTTAGCTCAGTGGTTCCGCGACCTGTCTCCGCCTGCCTCGCAAGCGCAAGGTCACGAGTTCCAACCCCGGTACCAAAAAAAAAAAAAAGGCGTGAATCGTTATCAAGACTCCCTTGTTCTCTTTGCTAACATAAGGCCAAGGCTACAGGACAAGAGACAGTCGCCGGGCTTCACCGGCGAGACTTGCCCTGCCAGACCCGGGAGGACTGAAGAAGCAGTAACGCGCAGCAGGATCTCAACTACCGCTCACTGCCCAAGAAGGGGCTGGGCTGAGAGATGAGAAAGGAGTCTTTGTCGGCCTTTTAGAAAGGGCAACAGCACGCAAACATTCCCTCCCGCCACACGCCTTTTCTCCCCAGCCCGGGCTCCAGCTCCTACCCGGCTCCCTCAGGCTTCAGCGGACCCGCAGTCTGCCCGCGACCGGAAGCGGAAACTACGGAAGCCCCAGCGCCCATACCAAAACCGGGGGCCTGGAAACTGTGGCGTCGTTCTTTCCGGTCTGGGTTGTAACCTCTCTTTGCCCCGGGGTCTGGACTCTATACACCTGACAAAGCAGCAAAATAGTCGTTGATACAAATCTTGCCAAAACAAGTTTCTCGTCTTCCCACGGAGTTGCAGTCCTTCGGCCTCTGAGGTCAGCCTGATTCTATACCCTTAATCCTATTAAACCTCTAAGAGATATTTAAGCGATTCCTTTCTCTGAATGGAAAATGAGAGAATAGACAAAGCTTTTTGAGCATGCTTCCTGTTTTTCTTTGGAAAGAACACAGATCTACTCCCTGGATGAAAGTCAGCATCACACTCTTCATCTGCCTACCAGTTAAGGAAAGGGACCAAATGAACATGCTGTCAGTTTCTTATAACATCATCTTTCTAGTCATTTCACTAAATAAATTGAAATCACTGAAGACATGGGAAACGCCTACAGGTTCTAGAATCAAATACTGTTATGTCAGCTTTGCCATTTACTTCCTATAAGACCGAGTAGAAATAACTGCCTTTTTTATTTCTTCCAAACTGTGGAGAGAGCCTTCCTTTTATTTGGATGCGACTTCTACATATCCTTTTATGGTTAATCACGGAAGTTCAGATCTAATAACTATGGGAAGACGTAGCTCCCCTGCTAAGCACACAGGTGCATCTCCATCAGTTAGGCTAAGAGGAACTCACAGTAAAGCCAGGTCCAAATTACCAACCTACAGACAGACTAGGACATTATTATGCTTATCAACAAACTTGTATTGAATGTTACTCTATGCCAGATACTATTGATAGCATTCCAGTGCCTCTTGCACCAGAGAAGACAGTATATAAACACAAAAGATAAATAATAAAAACAACATAGCATATATCTCCCAGTTTCTTTTTTGTTTTTTTGAGACAGGGTCTCACTATGTAGCCCAGGCTGACCTCAAACTCGTGGTGATCCTCCTGCTGGGACTACAGGTATGCGGCACCACGCCCGGCTAATATAGCATATAATAAATGCAAAGAAAGTTGTATAGACAACAGTATGATATAGTGGATAGGCACTAGATTGGAAGTTGGAACGTCTGGATTCTATCTTTTTTTTTTTTTTTTTTTTTTGAGAAAGGATCTGGCTATGTAGTTCAGGCTGGACTTGAACTCACTGTGTAGCTCAGGCTGGCCTCTACCTTGCTGCAATCCTCCTGCCTCAGCCTCCCAAAGCTTGGGATCACAGATGTGTGCCACTACACCTAGCTTTATTGCGATTCTGATGCTCATTAGACATGTGACCTTGAACTAGTGGTCTGAAAACTCCTGCCTGCTGGTCAATTCAGGTCCATCCCTGTTCCCTTTTTTTTTTTTTTCTTAATAAAAAGGACAATTTATTTGAAGATTTGGAAGGAAGAAGAGAGAGATGACTCTGGATGAGTAGGGAGAGTTCAAAAATAAATTGGTCCAGGTCCACCCCTGTTTTGGTAAAGTATCAGAATATAGTCATGCTCATTTGCTTATTAAGATGTCTCTGGGCAACAGTGGCAGAGGTGGTTAGAGGGAACAGAGATACATGTCCAACAAAGCCTAAAAAATTATTAAGCACACAGGTGCATCTTCATCAGTTATGCTAAGAGGAACTCACACTAAACTTAAGCCAGGTCCAAGTGACCAACTGACAGACAGAGTGGGACATTATTATGCTTATCAACAAACTTAAACTCTTGCCAGACTTAAACTCTCCATCAATTTCCTCATCTGTAAAATGGCACTAATATCTGTCCTGTTGATCTCACAAAATTTGTCATGGGAATCAAAAAGAGAAAATATAAAGATACTTTCCAAGAAAGGGATAGGGAATGTGACATTTTTGAGAGCCTACTATTATGAAACCCTGCACTAGGTGTTTTACATACATGATCCAATTTGATGGAGTTAAAGGCCAAAGACTAAGCCTATATAGGGTGTTCAGCAGAAAAATGAGGAGAGACTTGAGCTAGTTATGGAATGAGGTGTATGGTTTAGTTAACAGAAGCAGAAAAGAATGGGCAAAGTAAATAGCATGAACAAGGCTTTTTTTTTTTTTTGAGACAGGGTTTCGCTCTTTAGTTCACACTGGCCTGAACTCACTGTGTAGCCCAGGAAGGCCTCGAACTTGTGGCAATCCTCCTGCCTCAGCCTCCCGAGTGCTGGGACTACAGGTGTGCACCACTATGTCCAAGGTTTTGAGGCAAAAAAGCTTACAGTATTTGGAGATGAATTAAAAAACTGGAAGCTGGTCATGTATAAAGAGCAAAGTATAAATAAAACTGTCCAGCAGATATTTATATGTTCAGTGTGCCTCCTCAGGGAACAGGTCAGGACTAGAGATGAAGGTTTAGCAGTCATCTAAGCATATGCCTATAATCCCAACACTCTGGGAAGCTGAGGCAGGAAGATTGAAAGTTTGAGCCCAGCCTGGGTAGAGAGACCCTGTCTCAAGAAAAAAGGTGAGGGGGAGGTGTGGAAGTAGCTTGGTGAAAAGGCTCTGGGTTCAATCCCTAGTACTGTCAAACAAAAACAAAACAAAAAACTAGATTAAGCTAGGCACTATGATATCTGCCTCTAATCTTATTCAGGAGGCTGAGGCAGGATTGCAAGTTTGAGGTCAGCCTGCATAGTGAGACTCCATCTCAACGATAAACTAAAAACAATAAAAGACTAGAAGGATCATGCAGGAAGGAAGAGGGAGAAATTAGAGACCTCAACTAAATAATTTGGACTTTTCTTCTGTTTCATTGGAGAGTCACTGAAGAATTTGGACAGAGGATGATACATAAAGGACTATTCTAGGAAAATTAATCTGGTTATTAGGGAGAAGGCATTAGAGGTAAGAGTCTATAATATATGTCTTGACCAAAGTGGTAGCAAGGTGGATAGGAAGAAATGGATTTTAAGAGACATATCAAATAAAGAATAAAAAGGATTTAGTATCTGAATAGCACTAAGTTTTAACCTGTTATCTAGAAAATGTTGGTACCAAATATAGCAAAAATAGAAGAGGGCCAGGGCTCAGCAGTGCTGTCCCTGCCTGGCAAGTGCAAGGTCCTGAGTTCAATCCCTGGTACTGAGGTGGGGGGAGAAGAGACTATAAAAAGGGGGAGCAAGACATGTTTAAAGAATTTTATTGCTGATCACTGGAAAAAGCACTAGACTGGAAACCAAGAGTTCTGTACCACCATGTTGGCTTGGACCAGTCACCTAAGTTTTCTTATCTGTGAAATGAAAGGGCTGAGTTAAATTGAATACAAAAAGTATATCTTGTCTCTAAAATGCTGAAATTTCAATAATTTTTGCATCAGAAAAAATAGAAATAAAACCATCGAGTCAGGGATGTAGCTCAGTGGTGCTGTGCCTGCCTGGCAAGCACAAGGTCCTGAGTTCGATCCCTGGTACTGCAAAAACAACAACAACAAAAAACATCCAGCAAACATTTTTTTTTTTTCGTTTCTGGGATTGAACTCAGATCCTTGTGCTTGCAAGACAGGCAGCAGAATCACTGAGCTAAATCCCTGGCCCAAGCAAACATCTTTTTTTTTTTTTTTTGTACCGGGGATCGAACTCAGGTCCTTGCACTTATGCAGCAGGCAGCGAAACCACTGAGCTAAATCCCTGGCCCCCAAGCAAACATTTTTATGTGCAGTATGCAGTTTCAGGGAAAAAGGACTAGAGATGAAGATTTAGCAGCTAAGTTAAGGCAATACTTCAAGCCATGAAAGAATACAAACCTTCATGTGAAAGAATATAGTCAGAGAAAAAGGCCAAGGCCAGAGCCTAAGGGAACACCCATGCCCTGGAGTAGGTGGAAGTGGGGCCACTGAGAGACCTAGAAGTTGCTGCCAGTTAGGTAAGGGGAGAATTAGGATAGTGTGCTGTCATGGGATCCCAGGGAGGAGATGTCAGCAGGCAGCATCGGTGTTAGATACAGAGAACATAAAATACAAAGCTTTTGTAAAGGTCCCTGGTTTCCCTGTTGATTAGGTGGAAGCTACATTGTACCCCTGATTCTGTAGGATTATTTGTGACTTTGCAAGGACACCGTGGAAGCTAGGCTGCAACAGATTAAGGATTTTGTGGTGAAAGGAATCAGGGAGACGGTTCTGTTGGGAATTATGCAGAGTACCAAGACAGTGGGACTAAGGGGGAAGGTACTGGGGTAGCATCCCAGTGACTCTGGGTCCATCCCCAGCGCTGGAGGGGAAGGGAAGAATTATGGAGAAAAGGCAAGGGGATAATCAATCTCCAGAGATGTTTTCAAGGAGGGAAAGCCTGGTCACACAGGGAAAATAATTCTTATGGGGAACAAGTAGAAGACAGAAGATAAAGAAGGGATACGTGACACAGCAAGTTTCAGAAGTCAAAGGCAACCAGAAGCACAAATAGAGAGGCTTTCCGTAGAAAGGAGGTCATATTCTCTGAAATAAAGGGAAGTGGCAATTATTCACTGAGAACAGAGGACCTGAGAAGTGGAGAAAAGATGTCTAACAAGCTGTGAGAAACATGCCAAGAAGCCAGTCAGTGAACAATGATTAAAATGACGAAATAGCATGAAACACTAAAAAGGCTTAGGATGGGAGAGGAATGGTTTGGTGGAAACAGGGACAAAAAAATACTCTCGGACTTAAATTTTTGTTTTGTTTTGTTTTGTTTTGGTACTGGGGATCAAACTCGGAACCTTGAGCTTTCGAGGCAGGGGGCGGAACCAGTGAGCTAAATCCCCAGCCCTTGTTTTTTTTTCTGGTACTGGGGATTGAACTCAGGACCTTGCACTTGTGAGGCAGGTACCCTGCCACTGAGCTAAATCCTCAGCCCTTAATTTTTGTTTTCTGATAACACTGGGGAGCCTTCCGTAGTATAGCATACATCTACCATCCACAGCTTTTTCAATAAGGATGAGGTTCAGTGTTTAAGTCTCCCTGGAGTACCCCAACTCTGGTAGTTCTGGGGTACCTCTCTCTCTTAAAAATAGGCAACCACGGTGGCTGTTTTGGCTCTGTGCCTCTCCTTTGGCGGCAGGTTTTGGCAGCTCCCATCAAAGCCAAGAGTGTCCCAGAGCAGAAGAACCTGCTAGTCTGGCCCAGGTGGAAAATTACATGGGGGAGAGAGACAAAGGGAAAGGTGCTAGTCTCCAAGCCCAAACAAAAAATAAACTCTGAACCCTGTAACTGTCCCAACCGCATTCCCTAGAAAAACAGCCACAAGAGTCCCTTTACTTCTTTTACAGGGTTTATAGGACCCCTTCTAGACTCTAACTTGACAGAACTCATGTTCATAAACATTCCCATCTTTCCTGAAGCTCAGAGGTTCAAGATTGGTGTTGGAGGCAGAAAGTTTTCAATTTACCCCAATGAGCAGTAAAATGTTTAGGTAAAAAATTGCTTTAATCAGAAAGGATTTATCTTCCCAACATTAATGCACACATTAAAAGTAAAAAATGCACACACATATATTTATACAAATTGAAAATCACAGCGGCAGTCACATGGCCTGGGTCAGGGGCTGAGGAGATGGGGGACGGCTTCTCATTTGCTGCTCCAAGTGTCCCACGCTCATCTCTCTGGCCATGGCAGGGGGATCAGGAGGGGACAGCTTGCAGCTCCAGTCTGATGGCAGAGCTCCTGGCAAACTGCGGCAGCGAGGCCCCTCTCCAGACAGTTTCTTAGGATCACCAAGGATGACAGAAGACGCTGTAGTAGGTGGGTCTGGAGTGCTTGGAGCAGAGAAGGTAAGAGGCTGCTCTCCATGCTGGAGGAGAAGGATGAGCCCAATCCTGGTTCCGGTGCCTAAAGGACCCTGGCTAAAGGAGATGGCACCCGGGGAACCAAGAGGGGGGTTGCAAATTGGAGCAGTGTGGATCCAGGTGAGGTTCATGGCTGGCAACTCTGTGAGGTGCCAAGGCTGCTTTGGTTTCAAAACTAAATGCCCCAGCTGTGTCTGGTCCATCTTTTCCATAGGAGGTGCAGGAGAGGAAGCAGCTGAATCACTGTGGTGGTTTCCAAAATGCTAGGGAGAAGGAAAAATAAGAAAAAAATTAAGAAAAAAGCTTTCAGACTAGCTCCTCCTGCTTTATACCTTTGCTTTCCTTGGAGACTCAATTTGCAATGCAAACTTACCTTGTTTTGTGCAACAGATAATTTCTTGTCAGGTGATGGTTAAGTAAATTTTTAGTAATCCAGTTTTACTTTCACTTATTCAACAAATAGTTGGGGCCGGGGATTTAACTCAGTGGTTTTGCCACCTGCTACACAAGCGCAAGGACCAGAGTTCGATCCCCGGTACCAAAAAACAAACAAACAAATAGTTGAGGGCCTACTGTGTCCTACAGACTATATATTAGACACTGGATATTCAGAAATGAGCAGAATAAAACAATCCTATAGGTTCTCACTATTTATAAAACATTTCCTTTTAGAATTTCTTCAAAGTGTAGTTTTCACTGGGATTATCATTTTCCAGTTTTTGTATTTAATTTAATAAATTAATTTTGAGGCAGGGTTTCATTGTATACTTCAGGATAGCCTTGACTTCCCTACGTAGCTCAGTTGCAATCCTCCTGCCTCAGCCTCTTGAGTGCTGGGATTACAGAGGTGTGCAATCATGCCCAGCTTAATTTTTGTATTATTTATTTATTTATTTATTTTTGTTTGTTTGTTTTTTGGTACTGGGGATCAAACTCGGGACCTTGGGCTTGCGAGTTAAATTCTAATTTTCTATACTGAGCTCTTCATGAAAATTAGTATGCAGACACAATCCTGTTTTTGTTTTTTTTTTTGGTACCAGGGATTGAACTCGGGACCTTGCGCTTGAGAGGCAGGCGCTGGAACCACTGAGCTAATTCCCCGGCCCCACAATCCTGTTTTTTTTTTTAAGGTGCTAGGAATTGAACCCAGGGCCTTCACACTAAGCTACATTCTCAGCCCAATAAAAAAAAATTTTTTTAAAGCACTAAATTGCCCATACTGGGCTTGAATTTGCAATTCTCCTGCCTCAGCCTCCCAGAATGCTAAGATTACAGGCATGTGCCACCATGCACCTTTGCTGGTTCATTTTTAATCAATTATTTCACAGCATTAATACCTGTGAACAATAAAAAACAATAAGACTCCCCCTACTCCCCAGTCCATGACTTGAATGTCCTTTAAATACGGTATTATTTGAAGGCACAGAAAATAGGTCACTTCTATACCAGGTTTAAGAATCTATCAAACTCCTCCTTGTAGATGCCCCCTGGGCACCTTCTCCCTAACTCCCAGTGATGTGTCCCTTACAACTAGTCCTTGAAATGCATTATAGACTCAGAGGCTTCCAGTGGGTTTGTTACAATGATACTTGGACAAGGGTCCAAAGAAGAGAGGGGAAGTTTTAGGGGCAGCAAGAAAGAAAGGATTTATAGAGAGAAGCTGAGGCATCTTTCTGCATGAATCATTCGGCTGAGTAAAAAGCTTTATAGATCTATGCAGAAAGCAGATAAGCTTAACACTAGAGATATGATTAAATTTCATGGAGTTCCACCCAGTGATGCAAACAAAATAGAATAAAACACATGTAGGAATCAAGACAGTAGTGAAAGTTTAGGCATTCCCTTCCCTGACAGGAAACGAGTAGAAGAACCAGAAAGGGGGGGGGGCATTTCTGCATGCACTTTTCATTTCTTTGGTTATTCTCCCACCTCATCGTCAGGTTTTTAAATTCTTACCTTGGTCACGTGACGCCTACCCAGTGATGATTTCTGGGCAGCTATATGAGGAAACCAAGTCTTTAACATCCCTTCCACTTGCAGCAGAGTTCCTAGATAACGCTTCCTGTAAAAAGGACATTAAAAAAAAAAAAGTAAGTGTGAGAAAAGAAACAAGACAGGGTTGGAAAGAGCTCCTTTTTTATTTGATACTGAGGAAAGAACTAGAGGGCTTACCCCATCTCAGGCTTCTGCAAAACACCTACAATACGCTGGATCCTGTCCATTGCCACACTCTGCTGGAAACTGCTCAAGCCTGGGGGGGGTGTGATAGAGAGATAGATATTAAGAATTGAATTGAGAGTCCAGCATAGAGTTAGGTAAAAGGATCACAGAAAGAGGTTAAAACTGATTCAGTTAAAGTCACAGAAACAAAAAAAGGAATAGTCCAGGCTCCAAACAACAACTTAAAAGACAGACACATTTGAAAGAGCCAGAGGAAAAGAACCTGGCTCATAAGTGGAACTAATGAGATAATCACCTCTCTCAAAGCGACCCATCTTCAACCCATTCAGTAGGTCTGTGAGGGGCCGTATGAATCCTTGGAGCTCTTTACACTAGGAAAACAGGACAAAGGCTATGAGAAGACCTAGAATTGGCCCCATCAGTAGCAATTCCTTTACCTCCAAATCTGGGAACCAATACTATCCTCTTAGGGTCCTTACCAACTACCTGGGTGTACAGCCATTGGAGTAGTGTCTCTTTTCTCTTACCTTCTGAGCAAAAAGCAGGTCTCCCTCTGTGGTACAACCGTGGATGTTTAGCTTGGTCTCCAAATCACAATCTTTTGATCTTTTCACCCCAGATCCTGCCACCAGAGAAGCCAATCTTCGTTGTTCCAGGTGAGATGCTGTATGCTGGTTCCTGGAAACTTTGGGTCGATTCCTGGAGCGGATGGGACCTGGGCTGGCCTGGGAACCTCCCCTCTGCCCGACAGTGTTTGGCCTGGGCTCATGGCCCCACTTTTCCTCCCTCTCACTATCAGAGAGGAAGCCATAGTCACTGTTCACTGGGGAGGTAGAAAAAGAGGAAGAAAGAGAGTAGGAGGAATAAGAAGAAACGCTAGATGGAGAATCCATAGGTCCAGAAGCAGGGGCTGGAGAACAGCTACTGGAGTACCCAAAGATCGGAACCTGCAATTGAAGAGCAAAGCGAGGGAATTTGAAACCAGAGTCCCAGGATTAGGAAAAGGACAGGGAGGGGGGTGAACTGCGAGGTTAACACTTCTTTCCTTTCCCCAATAAAGACAATAGAAAAACGTCACCCCCCCACCCCCACCCATTAAAAAACTGGGACGGCTCAGGCTGCAGAGCAGCTGTTCGCCAGACACAGCCTCTGTTCCTTTGTTCCCTCAGTTCAGAGTAAATATCTGACTTGACACCTTCCCCTCTGCCGGCTTTCACCTGGGCTGTTCTCCACCCCGAACCCACAGTGAGCGTCTCTGGCTGAGGCTACCCCACTGGCGAGCGGTAAATCCGCGCGTAAGAACCCACAGAGTGTCCCTGCGGAAACTGCCCCCACGGAAACCGGCCTCCAGCGCTTTCCAGGCTCTTAGGATCAAGATCCCCGCTCTGGTCCTTCTACAGTCGCGGTGGGCCGGTGATACCATCGCTCCTAATACCAAAATCTGCATGCAGTCCCCTAAACCCACTTCCCCTGGGCCCCGTTATCCCCAGCGGCTCGATCTGCGTCCTCCGTCTCCTTACCTGTGTGAATCAGCTCAGCCTAAAATCTGCAGCTTTTCAGTCTCTCTCGGTCTGAGCTACCCACCTCCGCCTCTCTCAGCAGGTTCCGCCCCTTCCCCCTCCCAGACACGTGCGGCTCGGCACGTGCCTCCCCCAGCGTACACAGATCTCACGCTCTCATTGGTTGTCTAGCCGGCAACACGTGATTCGCATTACTGAAGTTCACAGCCCATTTGCTACAGCACACAGGGGCTCGGCCAATAGAAGAGCAGCCAGGTGATGATTGGCTGGAAAGGAACCCTTCCGTCCCCCGCCCCTACATGTGGCTTAGGGAGCGGACCAGGTGGTGAGAAAAGGAGGAGGATGGAAAAAGAGTGAAAAAAGGAGGGGAGGAAGAGGGGGGAACCTATGTCCTTAAATAGGATGATGATGTGCGGGAGACGCACAGCTCGAGTGTTCTGAGAATGGCTGTATGACTGGAGGCGCTTGCTTGGCGGGGGGGGGGGGGCTCTAGTTCTGCCCTCACGTTGAGCGCCTCCGCTCACGAGCGCAGCACGTGGAAACCCTCAGCGATTTAAGTCTGCAACGTGTGTGAAGGGAAGGGTGATACGGTGTATCCGCTCCTCTCTCGGAGGCCCAGCCCTCGTGACTCCCTGGACTCTCTCTCCTCTCCTCTCTCCCTCTCTCCTCCAAGTTGGTGGTGGTAGTGGGGGTGGGTCAGTGGTAGAGCGCCGGCCTAGCATATGCAAGGCCCTGGGTTTATTCCCCAGGACCACCACCAAAAAGAAAAACAAAACAAAACAGAAAACCAACTCCTCCGAGTTGAGTGCCTCCTGCCCTGCTGGGTGAGGGTGGGGATTGCAGCCGAGAACACCGCGTCCTGTCCCAAGCTCCCGCTGGGGCGGCTCTGCGAGCACATTCCTTACATAACCTGCCGCGCACGTTACCAGCTCAGATGCCAGCCCGCCAAGACTCTAGAGGTCAACGCCGAACTCGGTTGGTCCTTGACTTTTCTCCCGGGCTCTTTGGGCTTTGCGCCCTGAATTTTCTGGTTCTGAGCACCGGGAACATTGGGTAGGTCTCTTGTCTCCTAAGTTATGGTTTTGTCTCGCTCCGCTTCCTTTAACCCCTGGAGAAGATTGGAGAGACTTTGAAGGAAGGAAGAAGACAAGTTCAGAATTTTTAGAGTGTCGAAAGTTACACATATTATTCGTTTCCCCATGTAGTACGGTATTTAAAGAGAACAGTGGAAAGGAGGAGAGGTTCCAGGGACGTGGGCTGGTTGAGGATGCGACACCGGGAGGGCCGCAAGGGGGCAGTCTAGTTCGGATTAGTTTTTTTTTAACGTCTGTTATAACTACCAAATGCGAAGGGAATAGGTGGAAGTTGGGAGGTGTGACTTTTAAATAAGACCTAATACAGTACTTAATTTTTTGTACATATTTAATCGTGTGCTTATAAAAAGAAAAAACTTTCTAAATCTTAATATTTCCCAAAACAAAATCTCAACACCATGTCTAATGAAATACAACAGAATTAGTGGGAATTATGGGATGTGAATAAGCCTGTCATCTGTGGGTGTTTCTATTCTACCCTAATTTCAGATTTATTCACACTCTCCAATTTCCTGTAATCTTTTGTCACCTAATTTTCTTTCTAATATACCCCTTCTGCCCTTAAATCCTGGTGCCCCGTTTAGTGTTGTGACTTTCAAATAGAACTCTCATGAAGAAATAGACCATCATGGGCCGGGGATTTAGCTCAGTAGTTTCGCCTGCTGCGCAAGCACAAGGACCCGAGTTCGATCCCTGGTACCAAACAAACAAAAAAAACAAAAAAAAAAAAGAAAGAAAGAAATAGACCATCACATTTTGCTTTATTTATTTATTTATTTATTTATGGATTTTTTTGAGACAGGGTTTCGATATGTAGTTCAGGCTGTCCTTGAACTCACTATGTGGCCCAGACTGGGCTCGAGCTCATAGCAATCCTCCTGCCTCAGCCTCCTGAGGATTACAGGCAGGCGTGTGCCACCATGCCTGGGTTATTTCACATATTTTTTATCTTCCAATTTCCTCCTGTGAAACCCCCATCTACAGAGTTGAAGCGGCTTTCTCTCACCTAAACAAAACAAAAATAAACAGAAAACTTAGGGTCAGGGTCCCTGGCAAGCCCCTCTGGGCCTTCCACCTCTATGAAAATTCCCCAGATGTCGTATTCTGAGCTGGACTTCCCGGTTCTACCGTCTGGGAAAGATGTGTCCCTTTTTCTTCTTTCTCCTGGCTCATTCCTCCTGCTAAATCTCTTTATGCTCTGTAGTTATTTAGGATCCCAACTTAAAACGCCTTCTTTAGAACTCAGTCTCCCCCCGTCCCATACCTTAGGGAGCCACCACCTGCTTCCTCTGACCTTTGCCTCCCACCTCCACAGGGCACAGGACCCACCCATCTTGCCCTCTGGCACCTGCTCTGCCTTGGAACATGCTAGAACTGAGCCAGCTCTCATCCTCCAGGCACCCAGGAGGCCTGGAGAGGTTTCTTCTCTATTGGACCAGCCAGCTGCTCTAGAGGGGCCTCAAGCTTCCTCCCTGTTCAGAAAAATTAGTAACTTGTATCAGGAAAGTCTGTGTGTCACATACCCCAACTTCTTTAACATTAGGTAATAAGATTTTTCTAAAAATGCTCCCTCTTCCATCTCTGAGCAGCTGAGCATTGACCAGGTGGGAAACACTAGCTAGACTAAGAATTTCCTCACCGCCCCCAGTCCAGTGGCAACGCTCTCACCTTCTACAGGACACACATCCCGCCCTGGAGGAGGAGCCCCACCAGGAGGAGGGCGACAGGACTCTGCAGGCTGGACACAGCAGCACTCAGGGATGGACTCTGCTAAAATACAGACAGCCCCACAGCAGGCCGCATCAGCCTTCCCACACCCCTCCAGAAGGGTAAGCCCGCTTTCCTCCAACTTCTGATTTTCTTTCCTCTGGTCTCAGAGAAAGACCCAGCCGTCCCCCCATCACTGTGAGGGCTTCTTTCAGACATCCTTGACCATACCAGGGAGGCCCCAATTCAATTTAATGACATCTACTTTTCCCCACACTGGGGATTGAACCCAGGGCCTCTGCACTGAGCTACATCCCCACTCCTTTTTTATTTTCAGACAGGGTGTCACTAAGTTGCTAAATTTCCTGGGCTGGGCTTGAACTTGTGATCCTCCTGGCTCAGCCTACAGAGTGCTAGGATTACAGGTGTGTGCCACCATGCCCAGCTCAATGACTTCTGTGTTTATCTGTTATGTACCTGACACTGTGTTGGTCACTGTCCTAGGTGCTGTAAGGAGGCTATAAATAAAAACACAGAAAATTGGTATAGATGGTCTTTATCTCAATCTGAAAGAAGCCACTTATGACAAACCATCACCCAACATCATACTAAATGGACAAAAACTGAACGCTTTCACTCTAAAATCAGGAACAAGACAAGAAGTCCACTGTCACCACTCTTGTTTAATATAGTTCTGGAAACAGTACCCAGAGCAATTAGACAAGAGAAAGAAATAAAAGGAATAAGAATAGGAAAGGAAGAAGTTAAATTATCATTATTTGCAGATGATACTCTACATAGATGACCCAAAAAACACCATCAAAAGACTTCTAGATTTGATAAACAATTTCGGAGGCTTAGCTGGAATCAAAGTCAACACTCAAAAATTAATAGCCTTCCTGTACGTGAATAACAAACCCACCAAGAGAGAAATTAGAGAAACAGCCCCTTTCACAATAGCATCCAAAATAAAGAAAGACCTAGGAACCAATCTAATGAAGGAAGTAAAAGACCTTTACATTGAAAACTACAGTACTCTCTCTAAAAAAGATCAAAGAGGTTTTCAGAAAATGGAAAGATATCCCTTGTTCTTGGATAGGAAGAACCAATATAGTGAAAATGGCCATACTTCTAAAAATGTTATACAGATTTAATGCAATCCCAATCAAAATTCCAACAGCATATCTCACAGAATTAGAAAAAACAATTCTAGGGTAAACACAAGGTCCTGAGTTTGATTCCCAGTACAAAAAAAAAAAATTCCTAAAATTCTTTTGGAACCAGAAGAGACCTAGAATAAAGGCAATTCTGGGCAACAAAGGCAAGGCAGTGGGTATCACAATCCCTGATCTGAAATTATACTACAAAGCTACTGTGATAAAAACAGCATGGCTGGGCTGGGGATTTAGGTCAGTGGTTTTGCTGCCTGCTGTGCAAGTGCAAGGACCCGAGTTCGATCCCTGGTACCAAGAAAAAAACCCCCAAAAACCAGCATGGTACTGTAGCCGGGCATGGTGGCACACGCCTATGATCTCAGCACTTGGGAGGCTGAGGTAGGAGGATTGCTGCGAGTTTGAGGCCAACCTGGGCTACATAGTGAGTTCGAGGCCAGCCTAAACTACAAAGGGAGACCCTGCCTCAAAAAAACCAAAAACCAAAACCAAACCAGCACAGTACTGGCAAAAGAACATACTGGAGGATCAATGGAACAAACTAGAAGATGCAGAAACAACTCCAGACATACCCAGCTACCTAATCTTTGACAAAGGGGCCAAACACCTTCACTGGAAGAAAGATAGCCTTTTTAATAAACAGTGCTGGAGAAACTAGCTTTCCACATGCTGAAAATTGAAACTAGAACCATATCTTTCACCATGCACTAACCTAAAATTGAAATGGATCGGGCTGGGGATTTAGCTCAGTGGTTCTGGCGCCTGCCTCGCAAGCACAAGGTCCCAAGTTTGATCCCCGGTACCAAAAAAAAAAAAAATTGAAATGGATCAAAGATCTAAATATTAAAACAGAAACACTAAATTTGCTGAGAGAATAGGTAGAATGCTTGAGGACATAGGAGTAGGCAAAGACTTCATGAACAAAACCCATACTGGGGCCAGGGATTTAGCTAAGTGGTGCTGTGGCTGCCTCAAAACCCAGACCATACTGGGATCTCATCTCATTAAAAAGCTTTTGCGCATCAAGAGAAACCAGCAACAGAGTGAAGAGACAACTTACAGCATGGGAAAAATTTTTTTACCAGCTATTCATCAGATAAAGGACTATTATCTAGAATATATGAGGAACTCAAAAAAAATCAGATTCCCCCAAATTTAAAGACCCAATCCAAAAATGGGCATCTGGAATAAAAAGACACCTCTCAGATAAAGAAGTAGAAGCAGCAAATAAATATATGAACAAATGTTCAACATCACTGGTCATTCTAGAGATGCAATTTAAAATTAATGCTGAGATTCCATCTCCAGAAAGAATGGCTGCTATCAAGAAATCAACCAGTAACAAATGCTGGCAGGGCTGTGGGGAAAGAGGAACACTGCTCCACTGCTGGTGGGAGTGTAGACTGGTGCAACTACTATGGAAATCAGTGTGGAGATTTCTCAAAAAACTAAAACTAGAGGTTCCATATGACCCAGCTATTCCTCTTTTTCGTATCTTCCCAAAAGAATTAAAACCATCATACCACAGTGATAATGCACATCCATGTTTATAGTAGCGCAGTTTGTAATAGCTAAATCTTGGGAACAGCCCAAATGCCTATCAACCGATGAATGGATAAAGAAAATGTGGGGTTTTTGTTTTGTATTTATTTATTTATTTATTGGTTTTTTTATATACGATGGAGTACTACTCTGCCATAAAGGATGGGCTTCAGAGATTTACAGCTAAATGGATGCACCTTGAGACCATATTCTCAAGTGAAATAAATTGGACACACATGTTTGAGTATTACATTGTTTCTCTGGTGTGAGAAACCAAAAGTGGAAATAAGGACTAAAATTGGGAAGTTTGGGTCAGTAGTGTCCAAAAGTTGTAGGTTTCTTCCTATTTTGGGCAAAGAGGAGTGGTAATCCCTATGTCCGGGATTGAATGAATGTTTGAGACTTTGCCTAATGGGAAAGACATCTTTGGAATGGTATTTCCTAAGTCACAGGCAAGAATCCACATTGATGATTAGGTGGGGGCTGTGTTTAAGAATGGCACCTTTGAAATATTGGTGGTCCCAGTGTCTGGTTACCTACCCAAAGGGCTGCATTTTAACTTTTTCTTTTCTTTTCTTTTCTTTTGTACCGGGGATCAAACTGAGAACCTTGTGCTTGCAAGGCAGGCAGCAGAGCCACTGAGCCAAATCCCTGGCCCTGAACTTTTTCTAATATCCACTTAATCTGGCAGTCTGAACCCCTTTCCCCAGTTGAACTCTGACTTTCATGTGCTGAGAAAATATTCCACAGGACTGGGCCCTCCTTAACCATCTATCTTCCTTCTAATCGATATAAATTTCTGCAGTGGCTATATCTTAAGTAAAATACAGTAAAAATTTATTATACATAGTTTCTATTAAATGTTAAAGAAAACATTAAAAAATGAAGATAAAGAAACAGGAAGTAGGGAGAAATTCTAGTAATTCCCCAAATTATATATTCTGTGGTTTCAGAAATATTTCAATATATGTTCTAATTTGTTTCATTTATACCAATAGATCCTCTTAGTTCATTGAAAAGAAACTTTTGTGGTATTATCTATTTTTTCTTCTTTTAAGAGTTTTTTGTCTATGACTTGTACTTTAACATTTTGGCCATTTTTAAAGATTATAGTACACAGTGTATTAACTAATGTTATTCTTTGATTAATTTGTTATGAAATTTTACTTTATTTTTTCATAGAAGACTTTTAAAAAAATATTTTCTTTATTAATATCTACTTGAATTACATTGAAATAAAAAATAAAAATTAAGAATAACACATGGTTCCTATCTTCAAGGCATTTATAATCTAAAGGGAACCTGCTATGTACTTAAAAACAATCGGTCTATACTTGCCTCATTTTCCTCAAAATGTACTCTCTAACTCGACAAAATCTAGTTCACTCAAATAAAACTACTATCAGCCAGGCATGTGACATACACCTATAATCCCAGTACTCCATAGGCTGAGGCAGGAGGATCGCTGTGAGTTCGAGGTCAGCCTGGGCTACATAGTGAGACCTTGACTCAAACAAACAAACCAACCAACAAACAAACCCCCTCTACTATCTTGGGAGTTGTGAATGATCTCCTTCTCCTTGGGATCTTGGTAGCTTTTTTGGTTTTTCTCTCTCTTTTTTTTTTTTTTGGGTACTGGGGATGGAACTCAGGACCTCAAACTTGCCAGGCAGGTGCTGTGCCGCTGAGCTACATACCAGGCTCCTTTTTATTTTTGGTACCAGGGATTGAACTCAGGGCCTTGCGCTTTCGAGGAAGGCGGCAGAACCACTGAGCTAAATCCCCAGCCCTGGTTTTTTTTTTGAGACAGGGTCTCACTATATAGTGCAGGCTGTCCTTGAACTTACAGTGATCCTCTTGCCTCAGCCTCCTGAGTGCTGGGATTACAGGCATGCACCACTACATCGAGTTGATTTTTGTTTTTCAGTCAGACCCTCACTATGTAGTTCAGGCTGGCCTTGAACTAGCTATGATCCTCCTCCTTCAGCTTCCCAGGTGCTGGAATTTCCCAGGTGTGTGTTGCAATGCCTTGTACCTCTTGGCAGCTTTTGGTTAATTATATTAAGCTCTCTCTTCTAGACTCCTTAAGACAAACTTGGATATTTGCCTGCCTCCCTGCCAATCATTGTGTCTTCATTTTCTTAGTTGATTCCCTTTCCTATTTCTACTATGAGTACTGTCGTTTGATTTTTGGTCTTCTGTCCGCACTGGCTCTTTTGAGCTCATTTACTTTTTTTTTTTTTTTGGTGGTACTAGAGATTGAACCCCAGGGTATTCACATTGAGCTACTCCCCAGCCCTTTAAAAATTTCATGTATTTATTTAGAGACAGGATTTTTCTAAGTTTTTAAATTGCCCAGATTGGGTGTGAATTTGTGATCATCCTGCCTCAGCCTTCCTGACTGCTGGAATTATAAGCATGTGCCACAAAATTCTGTTTATTAATTAATTAATTAATTAATTTATACATTTTTGTGGTACTGGGGATTGAACTCAGGGCCTTCATACTAAACTACGTCCCCAGGTTTTTTTTTATTTTGAAATAGGGTCTCGATAAATTATTAAGTTGTCTAGGCTGGGCTCAAACTTGGGATCCTCCTGCCTCTGCCTCCCAGCATACTGGTTTACAGGCATGTCCTACCACACCTGGCCCTCATTTACTTTCTTAACTGTGACTCAACACTTAAAACTCTAGTCTTGGGCCAGGGATGTAGCTCAGCAGTACAGTGCCTGCCCAGTAAGCTTGAGGCCTTAGGTTCAATTCCTGGTACCAAAAAAGAAAAAAACACAAAAAACTCTGGTGCTTACCTAGTTCACTTTCTTTCAGGACACCTTTATAAGGCAATCAGCATAAATTTAGCTTGGTCAATACCAAATTTATAACTTCCCTCCTAAACCACTCTGGCTCCCCATTTTAATTAACCATTTTCTCAAACATGTTTAAAACCTGTGAGTTATTTTAACTTCTGATTTATTCCTGATATGAAATTATCACTGAAACAAAGCATATTCTTTAAAATATTCATTTTTCTCCTCTCAATTCATAACAGCACTTCCTTTGTCCAGACCTTTAACAGACTGTTGTTGGAACAATACAAATCTTACTTATCTCTCTCCACTAAATTGTATCTTGCATACAACAGGTGAGTAGCTTTTCTAATACTCCAGTTTCATCTTGTGCTTACCATACTCTTGCTTTAAATCCAAACTTCAACCTGGCATTTCAGACTATATATAGTTTAGCTCCTAGCTTTTAAATTTTTTTTATTTTTTATTTTTTATTTTTTTGAGACAGGCTTCAGGCTGTCCTTGAACTCACTATGTAGCCCAGGCTGGCTTCGAACTCACAGTGATCCTCCTGCTTCCCAAGTGCTGGGATTACAGGCATTCCCTGCCACCACCCCAGGCTTTTAGCCCTATTTTTTTTTTTCTTTTTTGAGACAGGGTCTCACTAGGTACAGTATGTAGTTTAGGCTGTCCTTGAACTCATTATGTAGCCTAGGGTGGTCTCAGAACACATGGTGACCCTCCTGCGTCCGCCTCCTAAGTGCTGAGATCATAGGCCTCCATTACTCCTCGGCACCAGCCCTGAGATCTGTCTGGGTTAAAGATGTCTTGTCCCCTCTTCTGAAGTCCCCATTCAACTCACTGTTTCCATTGTTAGTGGTTTCGTGGTTACAGGATTCTGTGTGTCTTTCAGTTGTGTTTGAAGACTAATGGTGGTCTCTGCTGCTTCTGTTGTTGTCTCTTTATCCAAATTGTTCTGCCCTCAGCAGGATTGGGAAACAGAGTTACCATCTTCTCCTCTATTCAGCATCCTCACAGATTTTCTCTTTCAGTTCTTCTTCCCTTCACCAGCTCCCCACCCCCCAGCCACCCTCCCCTCCCATCTGGGAATCACTTCCTAGTTTCTCTCCACCTACCTCATTTTCATTCTTGGTAATCAGTTACACTTCAACATTGCCCAGTTTCTTTTCTTTTTTTTTGGTACCGGGGATCCAACTCCGGTCTTTAGGCTTGCTGGGCCGACGGTGGAACCACTGAGCTAAATCCCCAGCCCTGCCCAGTTTCTTTTTAACTCTTATTTATCTTGACCCTCTTAGATGTACAGGTCACTTACCAATCTGTCCTCTGATTCAAACATGGAGTAATCAATGGTGAAATCTGCATTAAAGCCGTCTGGGAAGGAGAAAACAAAAATCAATAGTAACAAAGGAAAAGGGAACTCTGGATCCAGAAAGGAAACAGAAAGAAATCCCTCAGAATATTTCACCTTGATAAAGTTGTAAAATTTATTGGTGTAATCCACTCCTACTTAACATTAATGTTAAAACTATCTGAATGAATATATATGTGTTTATATTTTCAGTCTGGTTTCTATGTAAATTACAAATTTGAAAACTTCCATATTGTTTCAGCCATTTTCCCAAGAGTTAAAGAGCACTGGCTTAAGCAATAATATTACGAGTCTTGATAGTTTTTGTTCATAGCCAAATTTCTCTTTGATCCAGTTGCATGTGTGAAGGGCAAAGTCTTAGAACTAAGCAGTCTCAAAGCCTCTCTCCACTCAGCGAAGGGTTGGAGCGTACTCACCGTAAGAAGGGGTGACTGTGTAATAATAGATCACCTGATAATAATCATCCTCTACCAGTCCTTCTTCATCCTCATATTCTTGACCTATGGGGAAAGGACTACAGGTCAGGGGACGTTGGGACCACCCTGGAACAGAACCTGCATCCACCTCTTCTAGTTTTCCTTTTCTCTGCCCTGATTCCAAGTGCCACTGCTCTTTGAATCCTCCTTAGTCTTCTGGGCTCCATACTTGCTACTCTGTGCTTGCCCTTCCTTCCTTTCTTTTTTTTCATAGGTACTGAGTATTGAACCTGCAGCTTTCACACTGAGCTACATCCCCAGACTTTTTAACTTTTTATTTTGAGACAGGAGCTTGCTAAGTTGCTAAATTTCCCAGGCTCAGTTGGAACTTGAAATCCTCTTGCCTCAGCCTCCCAGAGTGCTGAGATCACAGGCCTGTGGCACCAGGCGTGGCTACTCTGTGCTTGTTCAGTCCAGGAACTCCTAGCACAGAAAGCACATACAAACCCAAAGAGAGAATTAAACCTAAAAAAGATAAGAAGACAGAGACTAGAAATGAAAAAAAAATCAAGCTTGTGTTCAGTACACCCCAGAATTTATTGTATTTGTGAGACAGTTTCTCTTAAAAATAACACATACTCTCAGGCTTTTAGATTTGGATTTTGGTTCCAGCTTCCCTGCCATCTAGCAGAATAATCTTGAACAAGTTATTTAACATCTGCTTAATGATTCAGCCGGTCTAAATACACCATCTCTGTTAGTTTTTTGTTTTGCTATTTATTTATGGGGGGTTTTTTTGTTTTGTTTTTTGTTTTTGGTACTGGGGATTGAACTCAGGTCCTTGTACTTGCAAGGCAAGCAGCAGAACCACTGAGCTAAATCCCTGGCCCCATGGTTTTTTGTTTGTTTGTTTGTTTGAGACAGGGTCTCGATCTGTAGTTCAGCCTGGCCTCAAACTTGCAGGATCCTCCTGCCTCAGCCTACTGAGTGCTGGGATCACGGGAGTGCACCACCACGCCTGGCTCTGTTAGTTTTTCTTTCCAAAACTAAAAATATGCGCCTTCGTGATTGAATCAAGAACTCTAGGCTTCCTGCTAAGCACTTCACTGAGCTCCTTGGCGGCTTCCCCTCCAACCCCAAGCTAATGACATAAGAATCTGGGGTGTTGGGGGTGTCAGGAAACAATGAGACACACCTGGCAGACCAGGAAACAAAGGAGGGAAGGAGTCAAGCTACTCCAGGGACCCAGTCCCTGAAGGCTGCCAGTTTTCCATACCCTAAAGGCCAACCCCCACCTCTGTCCTTACGAAGAGAAGGGTTTTCCTCCTGCTGCCTGGGAAAGGAGATATTCTGGCTTGCCTTGCTAGTTTTAGACTGCCCCAGCTTCCTAGGGTCCACCTCCCCCTCCTCTCAAGTCAGTCCCTCCTGTTGTTCGCTTAGGTGATGGAAGCTGGGGTCTGCTCTTACTAAAGGATCTCCCTCTGCCTGGGACTCCATCCTCTAAAAGGCTTCTGGTCTTTGCCAGGACTCTGTCTTCCAGATCTCCGCAGCCCCCTACACTGGGGGCCAGCATAGATGAGCTCACCCGCCGCTGAACTGCACCTCGCACCCTCTCATTTGTTCCCCAGCGCCCTATCATGATAGAGGACCTGGTGCAGAAGCTGGGGGAGAAGGGTGGACTTACCCAAGATAAGTGGCACCACAAGGATGGCTACGAAGAGGAGATCCATTCTGGATTTTGCACTGTCGTTGTGGAAGTAAAAAGGAAGTTACACCGTTTCCCACCAAACTTTCCCCGCCTCCCCCTCGCCCCAGGCTGGGAGAGAGCTTCGGGGACTCTTCCCTCGGGGGCGGGACTCCCCGCCTACTTTCTCTCCACATCTTCGGTTACTACCGGTCCTCAGCTTGAGCTGCCTGATTCCAAGAAGCAGAAGTGGATTTGGGGCACATTTGTTCATCCAGCTCCTCCAGCCTTTGATTAGGCCCCTGAGGGACCTAGCCGCCGCCAAAGAAAATCCAACCAATAAGCTCACCCTCTCTCCCTTTCCCTTCTCCCTCCCAGTCCTCTCCAAAACCCCACCCTCCCTCTGGCTGTCCCCAGCTCAACATCGCCGTAGAGTTGCCTTTTTCTTGGCGGCTTAATCAGTCTCTTTCATCACCCTGAAAATGATCAGAGGAAGAGTGGACATTTTTTTCCTAGGCTGAAAATAGCCCCTCTCCGCCCAGTCTTGGCTATGGAGGATGGGAACGGTATTTACCCATCATTGTTCAACTCTCAAAGCACCTGCTGTGTTGGTTCTGATGAAAATCTCTCAGCCAAGGCCAGTTACTTCCTCTGTGTTCATGCTGACCTGACCTCACTTTGCTCTCAATGTCCTGGACACAGCATAGAGGAAAGGAGGAAGCAGACCCACGTCTTCTCCCTCTGGCCTATGCCATGCCTTCCTCCCACCCCCGTCACTTAGCGTGTTCCCTTCATTCAGGCCTGCAGCAGTAGAGTTCTCTTTCTGCCTGCTTCTTTATTCCATTTCCATTCGATTCAATTCAGAAGTTATAACATATGTGCTAGGCAGAGTGTGCTAGGTCTACTCTGCCAAGCAGTTCAGAGCTCATGGGGAAGGGGATAAGAAAAGAACCATTTTTTGTTCTGTTTTGAAATGGAGGTGACAAATATCTGCTGTACATCTACTGTGAGCCAGGCACGGTGCAAGTCTGTGTGGAACCACCCAGGAACAAGATAGGGAGTGCGCTGTCATGACAGTCAGGAGGTCCTGTACCTACAGCTCACAGGAGAGATGACTTGTCTCATTCCTGTTTCTTCACTGCTGGGCTCAGAAGCAGGACATATTGAAGTCTCCAGCGTTGCCCATGATGCTGCAGTCTTGGTGACCATGTAGATCGATTCCTCCACCCCTTTCCAGAATGTCGTGGAGAATGTGTAAAACATCTATGTGACTGTAAATATATTCATTAAATCATAAATCACCTCCAGGAAGCCTGGTTCTTTTCAACGTCTATATTTTTTTGGCACTTTGATTATACTCTGAAAAACAATATTCTAGGTTGCCTGCTTTCCCATCTGAGGACTCCTTCACTTATGGACTGATCCTTTCTCTCTTTAGCTTGCTTTCTCTCTTCATTTTTCAGAAAATATGTAGAGGAAGTATGACATAAACGGAACTGACTGGAGGCAGGGGTGATGGTGGTGGTGGTGGGGATGCGTGTCACTTTCCTTCAGCCTCAAGGCTCTGATTACTTTAACTTCTGAATTCCTTCTAAACTTCCTAACATTTCTCCCTGGGCGCCTTTGGCCTCTCCCTTATTCCATCCTGACAGATCACAGATAACGGTTTATTAGCGAAATACAGCATTCCTATGTGTTTCCTATGGTAGCCTGTCCAAAGAGCTCCTACTTTTAAATCTTAACTTTTATCCCTTAGGCAGCAGCTGTAGCCCATTTCCTTTCATTCAAGTAAGAACAATGCCTGTCCCTATCTCCCTGCACCCTCTATCCTGTGCTCTTTGTATTTGTCTCTTAGATTAAACAGGATCTTGCCTCTCCGAGAATCCCTTCGAGAGAGTAGGGTAGCCCGGCATGGTGGCGCACGTCTGTAATCCCAGCACTCTGGGAGGCTGAGGCAGGAGGATCTCAAGTTCTAGTCCAGCTTGGACAATTTAGCCATTTAGCAAGACCTTGTCATTAAAAGAAAGAGATTGTTATCGCTCTTCCCCACAAACCATGGCCACGGTGCAACAGAATTCATGAAACGGTGCCTCCACCGGAATCAGGGTTGGCTCATTCGCTTTAAACAGCTCAAGCCACTCCCAGGACAAGGTCGAGGGCGCGGATGACTGGAGACTACAACTCCCAGCAGGTCGCGCAGCCACGCCCCGGCCCTTGAAGCTCCGCCCCCGCCGAGTCCTCATTGGCTTTCCAGAGGTGGGGATTAGATGGGAGGTGGCCGTGGGGCTGCGGCTGGGGTTTGTCCTCTTCTCGGCTTCCGTAGACCAAGTCTGAGGTACCTTCGTCTGGGGTTGCGGCCCCCCCTTCCCCGGGGTTCGGGGGTGACATTGCACCGCGCCCCTCGTGGGGGTTGCGCCGCCACCACACACAAACTCCCCAGCTGGCGCGCTCCTCTCGTTTGCCTCCCTTGGCCAGGGTTCCAACCGGCTCCCCAGCTGCCCCGCCATGGGGGCTGCAGTGTTTTTCGGATGCACTTTCGTCGCGTTCGGCCCAGCCTTCGCGCTGTTCTTGATCACGGTGGCTGGGGACCCCCTTCGCGTTATCATCTTGGTCGCGGGGTGAGTAGGAGGTGGTATAGAGGCCGGAGAGCGTGTAGGGGCAGAGACGCGGAAGGGGTTGGAGGAACTTGGGGGAGCCTGGGAGACTGAGTTGGGGGGAAATAAGTCGATACGTAGGTTGGACAGGTTCAGGTGGGGGAAATGGGTGATTTGTCTTTTCCTGCAATTGGTTTCCGCCTTCCAGGGACTCACAGATTCCTCCTACACGCCTCCTGGCGACGTCAGAGGAGGCCCAAGGCCGAGACTCGGGAGGGGGCTGTGCTGACCTGGGCCGGCCGGCCGAGCACTGAGGGAGGATCCAGGAATGGATACCTCGCCCTTCTGTGCCCTCACACTTTGACTTTCATCTGTAATCAGATTTCTACCCTTTCCTCTGCGTTCAGATTCCTACTAACCCTATATGATCCCTGTCGCTACGACCGTCCGGAAGTCTACCACTTTTCATGCTGCAGCCTTGGCTGGTCCCCCTTCCCCCTCATTTCTCTAGCTGCCTCTACACTTGCCTGTCTCATTACTATCTTTTCTCAGGGCATTTTTCTGGCTGGTCTCCCTGCTTCTGGCCTCCGTGATCTGGTTCATCTTGGTCCATGTGACAGACCGGTCAGATGCCCGGCTCCAGTATGGCCTCCTGATTTTTGGTGCTGCTGTCTCTGTCCTTCTACAGGAGGTGTTCCGCTTTGCCTACTACAAGCTCCTTAAGTAAGAAGATGGGGAGGAGATCTGGAGGGGAGAGGGGTAGAGGATTGTACAGTGAGAAGTGGGGCAGCCCCTAGGTGGTGGTTTGGAAGGAGAGGCACTAAGGGCAGACATTAGAGGAAAAGGAGCATCCCAGCCCTTCCTCATGTTTCCCCTACCCCACCCCACCCCAGGAAGGCAGATGAGGGGTTAGCATCGCTGAGTGAGGACGGAAGATCACCCATCTCCATCCGACAGATGGCCTATGGTGAGCCAAGGGAGAGGGACTGGAGGAGGGACTTGGACAGCCCCCTCCCCTAGGGAAGTTCTCTAAATAGCCTCATGTTCTAAGCTGTGTCTTGTTTTCCTTCATACCTGACTTCCAAGGAGAGGTGGTCTGGAGGGAGAGTAGGTGTGGGAGAATGGGAGGGGTCGATGGTGATGAGGCAATAGTGAGCTCCCACATTGACCAGACCCTCCCTCCCTCCAGTTTCTGGTCTCTCCTTCGGTATCATCAGTGGTGTCTTCTCTGTTATCAATATTTTGGCCGATGCACTTGGGCCAGGTGTGGTTGGGATCCATGGAGACTCACCCTATTACTTCCTGACCTCAGGTAAGGCTCACTTCCAATCTTGCCTTCATGCCCAACTTGTCCCTGGCCCTGATCTCATTTGTTGGCCTTCCCTGGGAGACTTCCTTGGCTCAGCATCTCAGGAGGCTGGGAGAAGATCAGGGATGCATCTCATCCCCATCTCCCTCCCTGCAGCCTTTCTGACAGCAGCCATTATCCTGCTCCATACCTTTTGGGGAGTTGTGTTCTTTGATGCCTGTGAGAGGAGACGGTACTGGGCTTTGGGCCTGGTGGTTGGGAGTCACCTACTGACATCAGGACTGGTGAGTTGGAGATAGAGGCCTGAGTTAGGGAGAAAAGTCTTTAATGGTGAGTGGGATGGGAGGTACCTTCACTTTTAACATTTTTAATATATCTTGGGTAGAGGCAGAAAGATGAGACCCAAGAGGTCTGTCACCTCAGTATCAGTTATAGCAGCTGCTCTGGGGTTACTCAGGGGAGGTGCTTGAATGAATTAGTTAAACTGGAATGCAGAGGGCATGAAGTGAGCAGGAATGGCTGAAGCCTTGAGGGACTTGAAAATCAGGTTTCCTGAAACACAAGATACTGGTCCTCAGAGGGATAGACCGGGGAATTTGGTGATGTACCCGGACAAGGTTTGGGTCAGAGGCACAAAGAAATGTGGGGATTAGGTAGGGGACGAATCTAACCTCTTCTACGCTTACCCTCATTCCCAGACGTTCTTGAACCCATGGTATGAAGCCAGCCTGCTGCCCATCTATGCAGTCACTGTTTCCATGGGGCTCTGGGCCTTCATCACAGCGGGAGGGTCCCTCCGAAGTATCCAGCACAGCCTCTCGTGTAAGGACTGACTACCTGGACTGACCGCCTGACAGCTCCCGCCTGCCTGCCCACTGCCCATGACTGAACCCAGCCCCAGCCCGGGTCCATTTCCCATGTGCTCTGTCTCCTCATCGGTCTGTCCCACCACCTTCAGGGTTTTGCATTGCCCATTTGTGACCTTTGGTGTCTTAGCTTTACCAGTCAGTGACTGGTGGGTTTGAATCCTCACTTATCCCCACCACCTGGGGACCCCTTGTTGTCCAGGACTCCCCATGTGTCAGTGCTCTGCTCTCACCCTGCCCGTGACTCACCCCCGTTCCCCTCTGCAGGCCGACGGCAGGAGGACAGTCGGGTGATGGTGTATTCTGCCCTGCGCATCCCACCCGAGGACTGAGGGAACCTGGGGGGGAACCCCTGGGCCTGGGGTGCCCTCCTCCTCACCCTGTATTTCTCCATCTCCAGTTCTGGACAGTGCAGGTTGCCAAGAAAAGGGACCTAGTTTAGCTATTGCCTTGGAGATGAAATGAACGGAAGCTCAAGGGTAGATGAACTCTTGAGTTTTCCAGTTCCCTCTCCCCAGACTGGATGTCCTGGTCTTTTTCTCAGGTCTGAAGGGAACCATTTGTGGTGTGATAAAGACCTCAACTGCCTTTTTTTTTAGTAGGGGGAGGGAAGAGGTATGGTGAAGCTCTTCTAATGTCCATGGGCTCTATTTTCCCTCCTCAAATTGCTCCTCTTGGCTGGGTTTATTTCTATTCCTTTTCCTCTTAGTCCCAGGCCCTGGGAGAAAGGAAGGAAGTGCATGTGTGGGACCTGGCTTTACTGGAACTCACGGTTGTAACCTCCTTGACCACCAGCGTCCCTCCTCTCCCCAAGGTGCAGTGGAGGGTGCTGGAGGAGCTGCGGTGCCCCTGGAGGGGTCAGACTACTGTGGCATGACAGGGAAGGAGGGCAGACTTTTTTCTAGTTTTTAATTGGGGTGGGGTGGGGGCTGGGGAGGTTTTCTATAAACTGTATTATTTTCTGCGAGGGTGGAGTGTCCCATCCTTTTAATCAAGGTGATTGTGATTTTGACTAATAAAAAGGACTTTGTAATTGTGGGGGGACTTGGTTTTAAGGAAGGGGATAACATATTAATTGAGATTTCTGTTCTCCCGTGTCTCTTGTTCTGCTTCCTTCCTAACCTGGCAACCACTGATCTCCAAGCATAACTTTGGTGCCAGGACAGAAGTCTTGGTTGGTGGTTTAACATGTCAGACACTTTAGGCTAAGGATCGTCCCAGAAGTGGATCTCCCTTTCAGGGTGGGATGAAAGGAGTTAATAGCTACACTTCTTTTTCCCTCCCCTTTGCCCAACTCCAGCACCTGAGGGATTAAGGAACTCTCATGCCATCGAAGGATAGGCCAGAGTGAAGGTCAGAAACTTTAATTTCCAAATGTATTGAGCAAAAAAACAAAAAAACAATCCCAGCAGCAGCCCTTTTTCCTAAGGGGAGATCCTGCAATATACCTAGCGGATGGGATATAATGGTGAAGAGTAGGGGACTTTGGGCTATTTCCAGCTTCTATAACTAAACAAAAATAGTTTGCTCTCTGCATTAATACACACAGGTCCCTGAGCTCCTACATGTTTTGAGAGACTGAAGGCTCTGCTGTTTTTCCTCAAAGAACTGGGGACCTTGCCTCTCTGTGGGGGATGTCCAGAAGAAGGAGGAGTGTCTGCCTACTACTCCTAGCAGTATTTTCTGACCAGTCTCTGCACCCCACTTTGGAGGCTCCCTGACAGGTGTGAGAGGAAGGCCTCCATGATATCTGAGAGGGAGCCTATGACTCCTCTGGGGCTTGAGCTGAGGTGAAGACCACACTCTTCCCGTTTCCTGGCCTCTTCTTCCTGGAAAGGGGATTAATGGCTCATGGGAGTGACTAGCATCCTAAAGTGAAGCAGATTAGGGATGGACTAGGAGAATGTTTTCTAATAGAAAAGGACTGAGGAATGGAAAGTAGAACCTCACCGAATCTTTCTAGCGATGAAATAAACAGCCAGCAGAAGGCAGAGACAGCCGAGCAGGATCCCCACACCTAGACTCAGCATTTCACCTGGGGGAGACAGTGATGCAAGGTGTCAGCACAGACTAACCTAGACCTTGAGCTCTGCCCGCTTGCTGAGGGACCCCCACCCCAGCCTGGAGTGTCTCACCTGTGGTATACAAGGGTTCCACTGGAGAGGAAGAAAATGTGGATCAGCAGGGCTTCAGATTCCATCCCAGCTGGGAACAGCATGCTGCTTCTCTCTGGGACAATCACCTGGGCATGGGAGTGGGGGGCTCCCCGTCCACGTGAGAGCTGGAGATCCCTTCCCTCCCAGGGGCTCACTGCTTCCTGCCATTTAGTCCCTGGGTTTCCCACTGCTTCTGAGCCCCACACAGTCACCTTGAATGAAAGAGGCAAAGATAGCCCGCTGGTTGAGAGGCTGGGGGTCTCGGTAGTTCTGGACGAGGGCCTCAGAGGGCTCCTCATCTGTGGAGAACAGTGTCTGCTGAAGCCTTTCCAGCTGAGAAGAGTGGGAGAAGTCACTTTGGGGGGTAGGAAAGGTGCTAACGTTACAACCATGTCTCCCTGCCCTCTCTACCACTCACCTGTCCCACTGAAATCTGGGCCCTGCGGTTGAAGACTGTCCACAGCACACTCTGGTAGCAGGGGGGCGTGGTGAGCGAGCCATTGTAGCGGAAGAACTGCTCCAGCTGCAGGGGGAGCAGCTCTCTCACATTGAAGGGAGGCACTGAGGTCTTCTGATCTGGGAGAACAGACTAGGACTGATCGTTGTGCTCTAGCTTACCTGGACACAGTTCCCCAAAGCAAAACCCACTGGCCCTAGTTGATTGCTTTCTCCCTGAACCTTATAGATCAGGGTATTGTTTTTGTGTGTGTGGTGTGGGGGGTGGTACTGGGGACTTTCACACTAAGACTTTCCCACTGAGCTACATCATCAGCCTTTTTTTTTTTTTAACTTTTTATTTTGAGACAAGGTCTTGCTAAGTAACCCAGGTTGGGCTTGAACTTGGGATCCTCCTGGCTCAGCCTCCCAGAGTGCTGGGATTATAGGCATGTGCCACTATGCCTGGCTTTAGGTGAGTTTTTTGTTGTTGTTTGTTTGTTTTTGTTTCTTTTGAGACAGGGTCTCAGTATCTATAGTTCAGGCTGGTCTTGAACTCACTGTGAAGCCCATGTGGGCCTCGAATTCATGGTGATCCTCCTGCCTCAGCCTCCCAAGTGCTGGCATTATAGCCATGTGCCACCATGCCCGGCAGGGTCAGTTGTTGAGTTTCCCTGAAGTCTAATCTTACTTCCTCTTACTATAGATTCTTAGGACTCACCTTTATGGCTTACTTCATGTAAATGACTTAGTATGTGTTCATAGGCTGGATTCTCGGTCTCACCCACCTGGAAGGGGATGAAAGGAGTAAGACATTCATGTACAGGATAAGTGGTCAGGATGGGTTGCTGCCTACCCATCTTGGGAGGAGGCCGGCCACAAAATAGGCCGAGGAGATGCAGAGGAAGTGGAGTGAGCTAGGAGGGACTGGAGGCCACTAACCTCTATTAGAATGCCCAGGACAGCCAGGCCCTGCGGCCTGTGGGCAGCCTCACTCAGGCTGCCATAGGAATCGGAGTCGTAATGAACGATATGGAGCTGAGGGAAAGGAGAGGCAACAGAGTCATTTAGGGTTTTCTCACCCCACCAAGGCCTCGAGCCAGCCACCGCCATGACCCCAGCATGCTGGAACTGCCTCCCAAAGCTGGGTCTTATCTCCCCAGGATGACTGTTCCAGTGTCCAAGTCTTCCTTTCCCCACCACCAGCCATCCATGTGCTGTCTTTGTGTCCTAGTCTGAACTCGTTGCCTGGTACCTCTGCAGCTGTGGCTTCGCTGTTGATCTGGTGCTCTGACCCCCCTGGGGATCCTTTGTGACCCCAGTGCAGGTGGAGCTGGGCAGCTACATATTTCCGGGGCAGTCCACCCAGATACAGGGTAGGGGGCAGAGAGAGTTGCACTGTGAGGAAAAGAGCAAGCTGGGGTTGGTTGAGGAACGCGGGCCATTTCCACCTATAGTTGCCACCTCTTCTTGGGAAACCTGGCTCCCCTTCCTTCTTCCTTCCCCAGTGACACCCAGTTCCTCCCATGCTTCTGTGCTTTTCTAGCTTAGCTCCCTCTTTTCAGTAGTGAAGTCAGTATTATGACACTAGTCATCCATTGAGCTTGATCCCTTGGCTATGGGAGCCTGATTCCCATTCTCATGTCTCCAAATTGATGGATGGAACATTCCAAGAATCCACGGGTTTTGAGAATATTTTTCCTCTGACTCCTAAGGTTTGGACTAGTCTACAACTCCTCGGAGCCTAGGCTTTTACCTGTGTGGCCGTTATTATGCAGGTCCAAAGGCTCAGTGCCAGGCTGATCGTATCCATAGGGCTCTAGAGCAGGCAGCTCAGGGTGGAATGTCACACTGTCTGTCTGGATGTCGATGGGGGACTGGGCACTGCTTCCACACTCAGGGTAAGAGGCTGGCCAGTGGTCTTGACCATGTGGGCCTGGTGGGGGTTACCATGGACATTTGTCCTGCCCTTAACCTCAGCCACCCTTCAGCACTCCCCACCGAGTAAGCTGCCTGTGTGGAGGTGGAAATGCATTCCATCCACCCAGCTAGGCAGGGCTGGGTGAAGTCAGACCCACTCGACCTCATGCTGTGAATGGTTCCCCTGGCCTACCTGGAGGCAGGGATGGTTCCCAACTATCCTAAATGGGCAGTCGTGGCCCTTTTACTCACCTGTAGTTTGAGGACAAGAAAGCTGATTGAGGGGAAGAGGAGATGAATAGAAAGCCTGAATATCCAGAGAGGTAGGATTAGAGAGTAATAAAAAGAGAAATCAATGACCCTAGAGAGATAGGGTCTCCTTGCGGCTCCCTATCAACTGGTGTTGCAATTTAGGTGCCCTGACTTTCTGTCATTCACATCCTGCTCTCACTGGACCTTGTATTGACTCTGGAGTTCAGTTTAGTCATTAATCAGAAGCTCAAAGGGATTGAGTTCCACCTCCCACAAGGTTGAAAACTATCCCACCAGTCTCTTCCTCACCCCTAACCTCAAGCCCTGTCCCCACTCCAGGCGTGGATAGGGGTCAGGATGATTAGGACAGAGAAGGAGGAAAAGGGCAGCTAAGGCCAGAGTTCATCTCCCCACCCAGTTTTCTTTCCACTCCAACTCCCTCACTCCCACATGGATTTACTGGGGACTCAGTTGGCTTTTATGCTGAATCAGGAGGTGTGGGATTTAATGATTAGAACAGGGTCTAGGAGTCACATATGCAAAACTGCACAGGGAGCCAGTGAAGGGAGGGGCCAGGCATCCAAGCTAAAGGAAACCTTTCCACCCACAGGGTGAGCCAAGCGAGGCACTGCAGAGATGGGGTGTCTGTCGGGGTGTCAGCAGGACTGGCTCTGCTCTCACCTTCGTATGTCCAGTGGTGACCTGCAAGGCAGAGGAGTTTGGGTTACAGCCAGGCAGCTGGGCTGTCCTGCTCGCCTCCCTCCACTCCAGCACTTCAAGGAAGCCCTGAAACTGGACACCTCGGTGGAAAGGTCGGGGGGCCTATTTAAAATCACCAGCCCGGCTGCGCTTGTGCACACTGAGTAAAAGGGGAGGAGGAATGAAGAGATAAAGCCGCGACACTAAAATTAACCTGGACCCAAGTGTGCAGTTTGCCCAACTGTTAACATTTTCTCCAGCCTGGGCCAAGTCACCGGCACTTGGAGGAGTGGGGTGGGGTGAGGTGTGGGCAGAGGGCTTGAGAGAAAGGGACTGGACGGAGGAGAAAGAAGGGGAGAGCCTGTGCATGGAGGACTGCTACTGAGGGAGCAAGGGGGATGATCCCTGTGCCTGGGAGCTCTGCTTGAAGGGAAGCTGTCAATTAATATTTAAATTCTTCCTTGCTGCTCCCCACCACAGGAGCCTCTGCTCCCCTTTCCCAGACAGCTCGGGAATGGGCAGGAGTCAGGGCAGGGTCTACCCTAGGTTGAGGGTGGTGGGTGGGCACAGGCAGCCAGGCTGGCAGGGACAGGATGAAAGTGGAGCATTGTGTGTAGAAAGGAGAGCTGCCAGCTGGGTCACATGCCAGGCTCCCGTGCCATCCTGTCTCTGGCTGAAATGCTGGGGGGTCTGCTGGTCCGGCCCCCACCCAGGCCTAAGTGAGGAGAGATTTTTGACTTTGATATTTAAATTGCCAGAAACTCTGGAAAGAAACCCTGAATTTCTCACCCTGTCTCGGTCATTCCCTCAGATTTCTTAGACCTGTGTGATGTCTTGGATCTTATCCTTGCTCTACTCCTCTCAGCTCAGACAGCTTGGAAGCAGCCTCATTTACCAGCTCGCTCCCCCCGCCCCCCCCAGCTCCAGTCCGCTGGTTCTGGGAAGGTCCACTTCTCGTGAGATCCTTGACGTGCTGAGTCTACAGCTTTTCCTCCTCTTTCCTTTTCTTTCTCCTGAGATGAAATGTGTGACTCCGTTTGGCTGTCCCCATCATCCTCTTGCATTCTCTGCTCCCTAGACACCCCTGTCCCCTTGTTCTTCCAAGAAACGAGTTCCACCCCTACTGTGTGCTACCATAGATACTGTACTAGACATAGGAAATGCCATTTTTGTGTTTCCCGTGGGGTGCAGAGGTCTCGGGACGCTTCTGTACACCTTGGCCTGTCTCCCAAGAATCCCCTATCTCCTGGGAGCTCCTGCAAGTTCTGTGTAAGCTGTAAGGGCCAAACAAAGGTTGAGCATTATTGCTGTTGCTTTGAGGGGAAAATTGGGAAACGAGTCGCTGCACAGAGTTAAGAGGGGCTCGGGTGTGAGGTGTTCGCCTGGGCAGAGCAGCTGTGGTGGAGGATCGCCCCTCCCCCAGCCAGCAGCCTGGATCCCTCCACTCTTTGGCTCCCTAATCACAGAGTTCGTAAAGAAAGCCAGAGGGTCGCCTGGGACTGGGGCTTTGAGGAAAGAGCCCTGGAGAGAATCTGTAGCCTGCAAAGAGATTCCTGCACTTGTGTGTGTACACACCCTGTGCTCAGCTAGTTCCCCCATCCCCAGCAAGCAGGGCTGGAAAGGTAAAAGGAAAAGAAGGGGAGTGGTCTCCGCCATACTTTTCCCCCATCCCAGAGCCCAAGATTCCAGCCCCTAGGCTTCCTTTTACCCGTCCCTCCCCAAGCACGCTTGGTGACATGTGGACATTAGCCCAGACCGACACACAGACATCCAGTTTTACCTACCCTCGTCGGCAGCCAGGATCCCAGTCACCTCTAGCAGGAGGGCGAAGAACAACATGGCATCCCCACTGAGGGACAGGGGACCCGGAGTTTGGGGACTGGAGGACTAGGGCAGGGAGAGGGAGTGAGGGGGGGGGAGAGAGGGAGGGAGAGAGAGAGAGAGAGAGAGAGAGAGAGAGAGAGAGAGAGAGAGGTTCTTCGTGTTAAGTATGTTTATCTCTTTTCCTCTTGCTATCTCTGTCCCTGCAGAATTTGATTTTCAATTGGGTACCGTAGGTTTCTGGGACCCAGGATAACCCCCTCCCCCCTGCCCTCGCTCTTTATCTACCTCTGCAGTCTCCACTCCTCTTGCTGGCCAGCGGCTTCACAATTGCCTCCGCTTTTAAGGTGGCTCTGGACGGGTGCACGGGAGGGCGGGCGGGCTGGGCTGCTGGCGGGCAGCTCCTTAAATAGCCGATTAGGCACGCAGGATGGCCCCGCTCCGAGCGGCGCGCGCCTCACGGAGCGCTGGCCCGGCTCGGGCGCCCAGCTGGGCAGCTCTTCCTTCCTCAGCAATCGCGAAGACCCCGCTCGAGTGGGGGTGCCCTGGAGCAGGCGGGCAGGCAGGAGCGCTCCGGGGCCCAGCCCAGCCCCGCAGGACACTGCGTTCTCCTCTGCCCGCCTGAGCGTGTCGGGGAGCTGCTGGGGGACCTGTTCCCCGAGCCCTGCAGATTCCGAACTGCCCTGGAATAGGAAGCGTCTCAAGTTTGGAGATAGATCTGGAGCCGGGGACTCAGGGCGCAGGTTAGGGATCTGAAGGTGGGTGTGGAGTAAGAGGGAGGCCAGGAGCGCTTGGCTTGGTGATGTCTTTCTCTGGCGCCTGTCACCAGCGCGTCCCACTGAGAGGCCTGGGTCCACGTGCCATGTGCCTGGGGGGCGGTGTTTGCTTGCCGGATAGGATAAAGCCCATTTGTGTGCCCCGCGGGGGAGGGGCTGCCGCGGCCCCACGGAGAGACTGCGGCTCCCACTGCCGGGCCAGCCACCTCCCTCCCCGGGGAGCGCAGATCTGGGGCGGCTTTTGTCACTGAAGAGGACACTGACCGCTCCAGAGAGGCCGGGGCAGGAGGAGAGACAGGGAGGCCGTAGGAACAATCACGACCGCCGCCGTCAGAAAAAGGCGGACTCGGGAGAAAGAGGGGAGGGACCAGAGAACGACCATGTGATACAGATGGAGAGAGGCGAAGGGTCTTTCCTCAGGCCCAATCGAGGGTCCGGGCAGAAGGGAGGCTGAGCGAAACCTGCCGCCTGGGGTCAGGCCCAGCGGAGCGCGGAGGCTGCAGCTTCAGGAATGTGGTTGTGTGCGCTCCCCCCGGCTGGAAATCCCGATCGGAATGTACATCCTAAATCCCTCGTTAGGGAATGTGAAGCCCACAGATCACTCCAAGTTAGTCATTGAAACCTCTTTCTCCTCCGTACCTTTCACCGAACCACTAGCTGGGAGGACGCACCCATTTGAGCTCCCTCTGCCCACCTTGCTCCTACTGAGCAGCAATAAAAAGCCCAAATAGGCCGGGCATGGTGGCGCACGTCTGTAATCCCAGCACTTGGGAGGCTGAGCCAGGAGGATTGCCAGGAGTTCGAGGCCAGCCTGAACTACATAGTGAGAACCTGTCTCAAAAA